AGTTTTCTGCCTCTTGTCTTCCTGGGTAACTTCACCTCCTGCCTTGTCCTGTCATCCCCTTTGATGATCTGCTGTGTCATGATTGTTTCCACCTGTGTCCAATCACCTGCACCTCCCTAGTGTATTTAAGCCATGTGTGTCTCTTGTCACTTGTCACAACAAGTTATTGTCATTGTTAATTGTCCGGAAGTCCATGTCTGCGTTTTTGCCCCTTGACCTTTTGAGTTTTGGGATTTTTGACTATTAAAGTCCTCTTTTGTGTCTCAAAACTCTGCGTTTGAGTCCTGCCTTCCCCACCTCCGTTACAGATCGGTTGCGAGAGACTGAAAACCAGGCTTTCAAATGAGTTATAATCCACCTTAGGTTCACGGTTTATTAAATGGCAGGAGTCATAAATAGCTGTCGGCCCGTGCCTCGAGTATTAACATGACTCGAAGGAGACGCTTCATTTAAGCTGAAATATTCCTCATCCAACAACCACGTTTCAGTAAGACAAAATACATCAACATGGTGATCTGATATTAATTAATTTACTAAAACAGCTTTAGACGACAGAGATCTGATATTCAAAAGACCCCCTTTAATTCTCCTATTTTGTTGCACTGTTGCATTATTAGTTTTAACTTTAATTAAGTTATTTACTACAACTCCTCGGTTGTTTACCTTTAACTTAGATAAGTGTGTCCGTGGGGCAGACAAGGTCTCTATAGGGTTCATTATGCTGAGTGACTGCTCAGATTGAAGCGCAGAGAAGTGTGTAAGACTGCGACTCTGCTCCCTGGTCTGAACTCTGGGTCATGGATCAAGTCCACTAAGAAACTGGGTCAGGTTCTTAGAAAAAAGTTCAGCTCCGTCCAAAGTGGGATGGATGCCGTCCCTCCTAAACCCTCCTAGACCCTCCCAGGGTCTCCCCAAAACGTCTTCCAGTGACCAACGAAGCCCACATTATTTACTGGGCACCACCTCAACAACCAGCGGCGGAATGACGTGTCGTCACTGGTCAAGTTTGGGGGGGGGCCAGAGAAAACTACAGTGTCCGACATTGTTTTAGCGCATGTACACACCGATTCCACATTAACTTTAGTGACCTCCGAGCAACGTAATCGGGAGTCATTACCGCCGACGTGAATTACAATCTTACTGTATTTAAGTTTATCCTTAGCCAGCAGTTTAAGATAAGACTCAATGTCGCCCGCTCTGGCCCCCGGTATACATGTAACTATGGTCCCTGGGTTTCGCTAACTTCACCCATGGTCACAATTCTGTGTCGTGACGAGAGAGCAAGGGTTGCGGATACAAGCGGCCGAGGTGAGTTTCCCGAGCAGTGTGTCATGTAGTGTTAAAGCACTTTGAGGGGTCGGAAGACTAGAAAACCACAACACAAGTCATCTTATCATTGGTTCCTACTTTCCTCACACATCCCCTCTGACACTGAACACACTTTAACAGGCTGTTTACCTGGATTTAATAGCTGGGACCTGTTGGTTGTATCATTACCTTTTTCTAAATGGGCTTCAGTCTTTACCACCCTTCAGTGCTTTTTGGTTGTTCATTTCTGATGATGTGCAGTCATTCTGCGCTCCCCTGCAAGAAGTTACACCGCAAACAGTTCTTCTCGTTGTGATAAGATCGGTGAGTTTATTTTAGTGCAACTTGCGATCTTATCACAGATCTCCTCGGTTCATGTGTGAAAATGCTGTCGCTCAGACAGTGTGAATCACCCTTAACATCAGCATCTCGTTCCCTGCTTTCTGTACGACTTCTATTATTCATGATGGTCACAGTGTTACCATAAATGGAAACACAGCTGCCCCCAACCATAGCATGAGTATCTTTCCGTTGACGTTTGAGTCAGACAGGAGGGGGGGGGGTCAAGGGGTTAATTCCTTTAACATGCTTTCTGTTGTATGGTGCCCTCCTTCTAATGAGTCATTGAATCTGTACTTATGGCTGGTGTTTGATGATTTCTTGTATTCTTTTTTCTATATTTGAACAAACTTCTTGAACAAAGATAAGGGACTGTTGATTTCCCCCAAGGACATTATTCTTTCGTTTTAACTAAAGGAAACCTTATCCTCTTAGCCTCAAAGTAAAGCAAATGATAAGCCCCCAAACTTATAGCAAGCTAGAACCCAAGCTGATTCCCTAAATTTTAACTCACTGAGAGCGCTGGGTTAGAGCCCAGGTGTGCCCCAGGCTACGTCCTTATTTTTTCTCTATTCTCGACGCCGAGGAAAACCCCAAAATTTAATCTATGT